TTTTCTGACAAAGTGGAGTATTGCGATCTCAGTAGTAAAACGTTCGCTTATTAGTACGCGTTTTCTTTTTAAGACGTTGACTGGCAGTTATTTCTCCGCCACTCATTGCTTTTAACTGGGCCATTAAAAATATATCTTGTTCGGATCTAGAGAGAGCTTGGAATGCCTCACGTAATTCGGCAAACTTCTCTCTTAGAATCATTTTCGAGCAACCGCAATTGCAAACTATCTCCAAAAAATGAATTGCTTTTTTATATTCGGTGGAAGCGCTACATTCTCTATTTTTCATATACGGGTAATCCTATATATAATTTTTATCAATTGTGTAAGATATTTTGGCAAGGATTTAGTTCCTAATTAACTTTTTATAATTTCCAGTAAACGCCTTTCTTTCGGTTCTTTAACCTTGCCATGTGCAGACTGAGTACTAAACGTCCGCAACAGGGTAATCGCACGATATTTAATCACTAACTTGGATATTCGACTTTATTCTTTTTTTTTTTTTTTTTTTTTTTTTTTTTTGATTCGCCCTTAAGCTAAAAGTGCATCATACAAAAACTTCTTTTGCTATTATATTAATAGTATTAGCTAATTTTTAAACCACCATTTGTACATGCTAGGCCTAACATATAATCAATCTCAAATAAAGTAGCTGTTGAGCAGATGTACATCATGTTCAGTCAGTATAGGTTTAGCCGGTTGAGCATTAATGTGCCATCGAATTTCTGGGTTCATAAAATGAGGATATTTAATCTGACCTGCCAATCCGGCCCAATCAAAATCTACGATCTTTACTCGTCCATCATCTGCAACCATAATATTTTCGCCCCTCAAATCGCCATGTGCATATCCCAAGTCATGGAACGAGTTCATCACTGCAACAACGTTATCCTTTACCCCTGCTCTGTCATCAACATCTGTCAGCATCCTCCATTCATTGTCTGGTAAATACTCCATTACCACCATTTTCCAGCCTCTATCAAGTTCTTCAAACCCCAACAATGCCGGTGCAAATCCTTTTTCAGCTAAATTAACGTGAGCTTGTCGTCCATATCGCATGGTAAACTTGACAAATACCAGACGATCTGCTGTTTTTGCTACATATAGTGGTTTTTTATCAATAAGGCGGCGTATGTAAGTGAATGAAGTAGGATTACTAGCTGACTCAAGATTCCAGAATTCTCGGACATATGGGAAAGCTGCCTCCCAACGGACACTATCATCTGATGCAGACATTTTCTGACGATAAGATTCATGGAGATTGTAAATACTTTGCTTAAAAGCTTTGAATGTTCGAGCCATTCTGAGCATGGTTGGATACTCATTTGGAAGATAAAACAATGGAATCACTGGACCAAGGGGATCACATACGGGTAAGTCAGTACAGATGGCACCAGCGAAGCCAAGAAACGGACCCGCCAGATATAAAATAAACATGGGGCAACATGTTCTCTGATAATACTTGAGTTGATTTTCTTTTGCATCCACCACGTGCTGTGAATAGTATGCAGTAGCTTGAAGAAACGCACACCCATGGCCCTTTCCAAATTCGGATTTGACTTCTAAGAGAGCTAAAATTATATCTTCACCCTCAATGGTCACTGCTATATGTCCATCAGTCTCATATGCACCTATTTTGTTGGCATTAAAGCTATAATTAGTTAGATAGTTTCGTACGAGATCAATAAATGCCATCTTCCGCTTGTCCTCATTGTCAAAGGCTTTGCACATTTCCGTGGAAATATTAATAGCAAACTTTTCATCTTGAACATCTACTCGGCATGACTCACACTGAGTCATGAAATAATTAAATATAGGATGATAGAGATATATTGGAATGTCATATGCTTTGGCAGGGCGATGGTTCAACACAACCGGATGTACACCTTGGATGGAACTCCATAAGGACGAATATGCTGATGGCTTGATTTTTTTCAACCGTTTAAGCGCTTCAGGTGAAAAGGAGATGTCATTATTATCGGAATCTACGTCCATTCGCGTTCGTTTTGACAGGGCTATCCTCCATGCAAGCCCAGACCATAAAAGCGGCGATGATCAAAAGGAACAAAAGGAACAAATGCGTCAACGTTCAAAATAATAGCAATAATAATGTTCTCCCGACAAACTCGTATTGTAAGAAAGCCATGTCACTAATTCTACTCTACCCTATGTACACACTACTCTATGTCCCCAATGCCCGAGTCACAAAGTCGTTACCTGGTTGCCTCTTGAGGAAGCTAACAATGCTTTTGGCATCTGTACGTGATGCTCC